GGGGGGGGGGGGGGGGGGGGGGGGGGGGGGGGGGGGGGGGGGGGGGGGGCACCACGCCCGAGGGTCCGAAACCGCGGGAAAATAACGAAAGACAGATGATGGCTCGGTTGTACAGATCGTAAACGCCAACGATATTTTTGCCCCTTCCTATTCGAATGTATAGTCTATACGTGTCTCGAACTGCTGCTGTGTGCCTCCTTCCTCCCATTTCTACTGGAACTGCTGTCGCCATTCATTCGTAGGCGGGGGAGGGATCAAACGGTCCGCTCGGTGGGCCGGCCGGCAGCCGCTCGCCAGCGGCTGCTGCTGCTGCTGCCCCCCAGACGTTAGCAAACGGCGTGCAAAACGGCGGCAGCATGTTTCGTTGTGTTTTTTCTTTGTTGTTGTCGATGACAACGGCGACCCCCACTTGGCGCCGGGAACACGACACGCGGACTGGCAGCCCACCACCGCTCAAGCTCCTTCGCAATCCGTTCCCGAGACTTGAGGTAGGTGGGCCTTGTTGTACTGTTAGGAAGCGGCCAGCGGCGGCACACAACCCCGCGCCCGCCCAGCCGAATACTGGTAAACAATGTCGCCCCGTGGGGAGGAATTTGCCCCTGATAATCAAAACCAATCCCAACAGGAGCAGTGCATCGGATCTGCCACACAATCTATCCAGCACTCTCCCCGCGTGCATGAGGGCCAACACGTGTGCGTGAGCACGTGAGAAGTAGTGGGGGCGAGAGGAAACAGCATTTCTCAAACGACAGACAGGCGGGCATATATAGGACAGACATTATGCACCAACAACCCGGTCGCCATCAAAAACAAACTCCGTTGTTCATGAAACATGGACCGGACGGCGGCAGCCTCCCCCAGCTTACTAGGCACACCCTGAGATGCCTCACCTCGTACTTGTCAGATATTTTCGGCCCCTTCCTTCCTCCTTTCTCCCCCTTGTCTCTCGTGTTCGTTCCCAGAGCTGCACAGACACAGGTAGCAGTGTTACACAGAAGACGAAATCCGGTCTGGCAATCAGTAATTATAGACCTGAGACCGTCCTTGGAGTTTGGCGTGGCGGGAAGACAAAACGCTCCGTGGAATCATTCTCAGTCATTCCCACATACCCCTCCCCGCTGCCCCCGTCCAGTCGATACACTAGCTGTGCGACATCGACGGCACCATAGTACACACACTGGAGCATTGACGGCACACACACAAGGGTATGAGGTTCAAAAAGACCAGTGCAAAGACTGGGGCAGCAGCAACGGTGGATGGAGAGCAAGGTGTGCGAGTGTTCACATCAGCATGTTGCCTCCGGTAACATGACGCCTAATAGCACCCCTCCTTCGCCCACGCATGACCCATGACTGCTGCTGTACGACATGTATGAATCCCTTCTCGGTTGCAGAGTCCGGGGGGTGTGCAGGTTGGCCAAAATCTACAGTAGGTGATCAGAACGCTCTCGAACTGGACTCTAACTTTGGGCTCGAAGTCCTGTTTGCAACGTTGCCTAAAAACTTGCTACACTAGATGTAAATTTGCTTCCCAACAGCAGCTTCCCAACAGTACTGATGTATTTCCCAACAATCTTGCCGCAAGTGTCCGTAGCGGTTGCAACCCGTTTCGGGGTGGTACAGCAGTAAACTAGTGAGCGCCAGGAGCGGTGGTTGGTGCTCCCTACTGCTGTAGCCGGTACACATTACGCACACCAGACAGCTAGTCGAGAGATGGTTGGCAGCGTAGATGACGCAGCGGCCAAGAATCCAAAACCGGAGATGATAGACTATACATCATTTGTAGCTTGCTGTATGTATGTATGCATATAAATGGTGGTGGTTGTGTGCTCTCGCCCCCCCCCCGGAGTTGAGTTGCCTTTGTGCTTAGCCGCCGGTGGTACATACACATCTCCATTTCACGAGCGGTAGAAAAGGAGTGTACTTCCCTTGCCCTGCGCGTACATTATAAATAGTGCCGACTCTCTTCACTGAGTCGCCTGACAGTTTGTGAAAAGATGACGAGCACATGCTACATACTCCTTCCACCATGAACCCGTGGTGCTCGCAGTAACGTTTTTTTTTTTTGTCTCCCATCATTGGACTCTGATGTCGTCTGCCCCTCTGGCCCCTATCCTCCACTTCTACTAGCTAGGCGACCCAACCGGGGTCACATAGGAGGGGGGGGCTGGACCCCCTCCTGCGGTTCATGCCTGACTGAGGTAACGTATGTGTGGCCATGTTTGCCGAAGCGGTTGCTGCTGTCGTTTTGTATTGTGCCCTTTCTCGGTGGTGGGAATGTATGTGCGTGCACAAGCTTCTGTGTGTTGTTTGTGGTGAGGTTGGAAGGTGTCTCCCGCAGTAGGAGTTAGTTAGTGGTGCGCCCAAACCGTCAACTCTTACTTGCGAAGACATTCCCCAGGTGAGAACTTCTTTCTCTGCCCACACTATGTTCAACGTGCAGACGTCACGAGCCCCAGGAACAGCTTGTCGGCAGCAGTAGTTTTGTCACTTTCAAAAGAAGCATCAATACTGGTACCACCACTAATACTTCCACGCCTCCTATGTACCTACGAGCACATGTTCTCACAACGCGCAGTACGTGCCCACACGACCCCACACACCGCCGCCACCGTCGTTTTCGACAGCGCTGGACCCTAAGCTGCAGAAGAGGGCGGAACAGGCCCCCGCTTCCTACGAACTAACCAATGACGACGCAGCATCGCCAGCAGATAACGAGCCTGCCGCCGCAGACGCATCCTCCTCCACACGGCGTGCAGCAGCAGCGACGAGTGGCGATAACAAGGACGCCGAGCGGGAAGGGGAGGTTGTGGGGGCATACTCAGAGGCGGCAAGAGGTAGTGTCGGCACCGCTGGCGGTCGACCAATCGCAGAGGGCAGGGTAGCAAGGGAAGAAACGCGAGAGGGAGGGGTGGAGGAGAACACGGAGCCCCCGCTGTCGCCCTCCGGAAGCGATGAACAAGAAGAACGAGTTGCATCTCGAGCGGCGGCGGAGGCGGCGGCGGTGGCTGGACACACGGCGAGGGGGGAGGAGGGTCGAAGTGAGTCTTCAGAACGCACGGCCAGAAGAAGAAAAGAAGCGGGCAATAATGCTTTGGAGGACCCTCGAGGTGCCGCAGGCAGAGTTTCGGAAGGGGCGACCTCTGCCGGTGGAGATGGACGAGGTTCAGCCGCTTCGATCGCGGGCGACGGCCATGCCGCTGCCGTTGCCGCCGGTGGCGGTGATGGAGGGGGCGGCGGCGATGCTGATGTCGGGACTAGCGGCCCCGTGGATTCGCAGCAATCGGTTGGAGCAGCGGCCCAGATTGACGGTCATACGAAAGGTACAGTAATGCATGTCCCTCGTCTTCCTTCGTTCCTGGTGAGGGTAGGGGGGGGGGAACGCAGCGAACGAAGTTGTTCCCGCGGATACCTGGCGATTTTTCTTTTTGCCCCGTTGTATGTATGTTTTGTTTGTTTTTTGTTTTACTCCCATCATTGGACTCTGTCGTCCGCCCCTCTGGCCCCTATCCTCCACTTCTACCAGCTAGACGACCCAACCGGGGTAACATAGGAGGGGGGAGTTAGACCCCCTCCTGCGGTTCCTGCCGAGATATTTTTATCGCGAGAACGGTGCAGCAATCCCTTGCCTCGCGACTTATGAAGTCGATCAAGTTTACCAACAACGAGCTTTGCAGCGCGTCGCTTCCAACGGAGACCAGGATGTAATTAGCGAGAAAAAACTCACTCTGTCGAGACTCGAACCCATGACCTGGCCCTTAGCAGGCTGCGAGGCTACCCACTAGACCCACCGGGGCGACCGGGTAACCCTAACCCTATGTGTATCCGCCGTGTTTGTTTTCTCAGAAGACTACAATAATCAATGAAATCACCTCGCACCCTTTGTGTTGCTCTCCGCCGCTTTTCCTTTTTGTCGTTTGAAGTCTCCTCGTTTTTTCATTGAAGTCCTACCTAGCAACTCAACGAGTATCTATCGCCGCGTTGCCTGTCTGAAGCTTTTCAATTGTTTTGCGGTTAATAATGTGTACAGACACGAGTAGATGACATGAGATATCGCCCCTCTCAACAATTTTTTACTTTCAAAACTTGATTTCTCCACAGCAGAAAGCGTGGCCGGGCGGCGTTGGAACCGATAGCTTTCCGAAAACAAACGTATCGTTTGACATCCTGGTCGTCGTGGACTAACATTATTAGCTGTGACTATTGATGAGAAGGGTTGTGATAGATTATGTCACCTACTGCAGGTGCATGCATGATGCATAAGAATAAGGAGCACCCTCCATACCCCAGTTACACGAAAAAAAATATGGACCCGAAGCGTCCACAAGTCAACGACAGATTAGTCCAGGACCCTCCGCTCGCCTCTACACGCTATGCGAGGTACCAATGTACAGCAGCAGCAGAGTAACCATACACTGGACAAAAAAGCAAAAAATAGCAAAAGAATATTAGAGGCGACCTCACGGCACCCGAAAAAAACGTCGACCGGCACTTCTTCTCACTACGCCCATCCTTCGTGTGCACTCTTTTGTGGCGAGGGACCCCATGCTTTCAAGAATCCCGCTAATCATCTCGTTGATCTGTTTCTTTCGTTTACAACATGTACTGTAGTACGCACGATCACACCGGAATGAAAAGGAGACCACACCAGAACGCGCTCTCCGCACGCTGGGAAATAATCTAGGACTAGATGAACGCGGACCCCAGAGAGGATGCACTTTTCACGTTAGGTTTCTCTCCAAAACGAAAGAGCCGGACGGGAGGGATGAAAAAGAAGAGGCGTAGTACGCGTTCCCCGTTATGGACATATCACAAGGAGAGTCGTATTGTGGTTGGTGGTGGCAAGAACCTCTCTCTGCACGATCAGGCCAGCAGGCCACCAGTCCCCGGGGCTCTTATGTTGCACCCCCCCATGGACGCAGCAGTAGCAGCGCATGTCCTGTAGCAGACACCTACCGCTGAAAATATTGGAGACCACGAATCATACCGACAGGTGGGTGAGGACCCTAAGAAACAGTCAACACAGCCAGTTTACATCACAGCTTATTGCAAGCAAGAACGAAGAAAGGCGACAAAAAAAAATAGAGAACGCCAGCGACAGGAAACAAAGAAGTAGAGGAGAGCAGAGCTAACAAGTGAAGAAACAAGGCACCCTTGCGTCTCGAACCCACCGGAATCTTTACGTGTTCAGGAGCAAACAGCAGGGGCAGCACCCAATACCTCACATGCAGTAGCCGGGTACACGGACTGGTACGTAGTAGTAGAATAGTCTCTTTCACTCGGCAAGAACATAAAAGCCCGGGCGAACTTGAACTTGTAGCCACAAGAAAGAAGGTCATGATGACGTACCTCATTCTGCTTGCGGTGGGAAATGCGCATCGTCACGCGAGGAAGGCGTTTTTTCCTCGCATTGAATATGCTGCCGTTGCCCCGATCCCTCAAGCTCAACCACAGCTATACCCGATACATCGTAGCAACATGTCCAGCTGTAGAAGAATCTCAACAATATGATTTTTTGTAGTGGCGAAGCGGACCCTCTTTTTTGTGGCTCTCCAACTGTCGCGGATGGCGACATGGCGACACAGACAGACGAGTTCTAGGGTTTGACGTCGGTCGTATCCGCCGCAGGAGGTGGAAGCTACTCGAAGTTGGGGAGGGCTCGTGATTTGCAAGTCCCTACGGAACCGTACTTGAGGCGCCATGAGATTTACACTGTAGCCAGCCGACGTTATTTGTCGGCAGGTAAACACAAAAAACAAAATCTTTTCGGCGGACCGGACCCTCTTTTTTCAACTGGCCAACTGCTGTTGTTTGGATGGCGAGAAAATTTCGGGTGTTCTTGTCCGTCACAGGAAGCCGAAGCTGATGCTCAAACTCGGGGAGGGGTCATGGTTTGCGGTTTCCTACCAAACCGTACCACTCGGGGCACCACGTTATGGACATGGCAAGAAAAACATTCCCCCAACGAAAGCTTCTGAAATCACTGGATGGGTGGATGTGAGGGACCCCAAAACAATGGAACATTCGCGGTTCGCGTTGCTCTGGTGGCCCCACCGGCGAAAAAAAACCGTCGCCGCGCTGAACGCGGGAACCGCGGGAATCTGTCACATAGCACTGCATGCAGCGAACATGAGGGGCCATGACCATTGCTTGGCGGAAAGAGGCGGCGCCCATCGCCTCGCATGCAGCACCCGGGTACACGGGTAGCCTCCTACTCAGCAAGGAGCAAAGCGATTGCCGTTCGTTGACGTTCGATACTGTTGGGACCCTAACGAACGGCGAAATGCGACAGAGAGTGGGGGGTCGACAAGAGAGCCTCGAGAACACAAGGCATGAACTCTCGAGAAGACTCTCACTCTCACCCCTCTGGCCCACCGCGGGCTTAAACACGCGTAACGAACGGCGACATCCGATCTGCGCTCAGCAACAACCAACATAGCAAGAGAAAACAGTGGTCCTTTCCGAACTGTGGAGACTTTGTTTATTTTCTGGTATGGTAGGAAGTGCCAACAGAAGAACGCGACTATCTGAGTATACTAGAAGCACGACGGACGAACTATTACCTCAAGGCGCTTGCCGTCGCGATAGATGCGCACCGCTACCGCTACACGAACGAGCAGACTGTTGTCAAACGTGACTACGATAACCTTACGACCATTGCAGCACATTCCGAGCATTACAGCAGCAACCGCGGCAGCCGCCGCCGCCGCATGTGCACAACGGTCACTCACGAACAAACGCAAAAAAAAAAAATGTGGCGCGCAGCACGCAGGACCCTCTGTCGCTGTTTAACCGGCCGTTTTCATGGCGAAACAGGCAAGGAATAGTCACGGTCGACTCTTGCCGGCCACAGGAGGCGGAGGCAAACTTGGGGGCGGCTCATGATTTGCGATTTCACACCGAACCATACTCTAGGCGCCATGACACTTGCGCTGTAGCTCGAGATCAGCATAGACCGGGTCGGGCAAGGGTTGGGGCATGCGAATATTAGTTCCACGAATATCGAACGATGAGACTGAAGCTGAAGCTTCAGAACATCCTCCGACACATTTTGTCTTATTTTGATGTGTGGTGTTGGCAGTAGTCTGCCCCCTCCCTTGGCATCCGCCGTCGCCTCGTTTTTTTGCTTTTTAGAATTTAGTATCGAATTCGAGAACTTAAGGCAATCAAAAGATATCCGATTTCAGACACGTTCCGTCTCTACAGTTAAGCGACAAGAACGTTGCTGCGCGTTGAGAGCATCGTTTGTACCAGTATGTCGCAGATAGCATACGCCGTGGGCCGAATAATTTCACCTAGAACCGTAAAAGTTGAAGATAATATTGGTGAAAATTAACAAACAAGATAACAGGCACCCGTGCCAATTTCCACCAACGATTCCCTCACAAGATCGGGAAGAACGTTGGTTCCGCCTGGGAAAAGACTGGAAGCATTCAGAGGCTGATGTGATGGTGTCTTGTTTCGCCGGCCGTTGCTTGCTCCTGGTATTTGGTATTTTGTCCTGAACGACTTTTCTTTTGCTGCGTCGAGGCCGATACCAGTTTGTCGTGGACATGCATGCGGCGATGCCCCCCTAGCTTCAGTGAGCGTGGATTCTGCAGTCACTTGACAGCAGCATGATATTCTGCACAGCAGCAACATGAACTACAGGTCCCGGCCGATGCAAGCTACGAAAATGACAGCGTCTTATCATTCTTCTTGTCATTGCTATGGGAGGAATGCCTTTTTCTGTCAATGTCTTTGCTGCTACGCCTATTATAGTGCAGCTACCCTGCTTTTTTCACTTGCGGCTTCTGCTGCAGTACTGCTGCTGCTGCTGCTGCTGCTGTTGCTGCTGCTACCCGCTTGTTTTCACCAATTGTTCCTGCTGTTGCTACTGTTGTTGTTGCTGCTGCTGCTACTGTCCTGATCTGTTTCCCCTGCTACTGCTGCTGCTGCTGCTGATGCTGACGGTGTTGTCGCTGTTACCACTGGTCTTCAAGGACAAACCAACACGCCTCCGCCGCCGCCGGCAATACCGTCCAAGCCCGCAAGGACATTGGCAGACGTGGCCGCGTTTGTGGAGGCAGATAGCATCGCGGCGGAGAAGGCCTACGCCGATGCTCTCATCGCCACCGCCACCGCAGCACAAAGTCAAGAAACTAGCTCGGTGAGAAACAGCAGAGAGGAACTGAGGGGGGGCGCGTCGTGGAAATCGAGAAAAGACGGAGGGGGGGGAGGGGGGGGTCAAGACGCTCACCCAGGCAAGGGCTGAAGTGAACCAAGGCGTATTTACCCCCACTCGAGCTGACAATGTCCTTTCTTTCGGATCTAGGAAATAGAGACGGGCATGTTGAGGGGGGGTTGAGGGAAGAAGAGAAGCAGTAGGATGGTGAAGTGAGCGTAATTTTAGAGTATCGAGGGTTTGAGAACGTGCTACCCGGAGTTGAAACGTGCTAGCGCCTGACATGCCTATATACCTCCCACCTGACAAAGAAAGGAAACCGGCTCCCCTTTGTTCTCAGTCCTGAGTCCTAAGGCTATTCGAGGCAAGCTCCGCGAACACTGCAGTTAGGAGGTCGATGATAAAACAGTCTTTCCGCTTTCGAAGAACACGCTAGGTCTTGCCGGTGGATCGATGATTGATTAGGTGTGTTTTTGAAATAGTAATAAAGAAGTCTCACTCAAGTGTGACATGTACGCGCCACGGAACAGCTAAACAGTAGTCTATCCCTTTTTGCAATTGCCCTCGTCATATTCAACCCAGCAATCCGGAGAGGAATCCCGAACACAAGCGGCAGTGCAACAGCAGCAACAGCAGCAGCAGCAGCAGCAGCAGCAGCAGCACGCTACGGCATCGGCGGCGACTGTTGTCGGTGGAGTGGGGGGCACCGTGGGTGCTACAATCGTCGCCGCTGGAGGGACTATCCCTGTTTCCGATGGTGAGAGCATGCCGTTGTCTTTGTTTGCTTGAACCAAGCCGCATGCGTCTGCTGGGTTGGTGGTTTGTTCTTGGAGCGTTGACCTCGCTCAATGGCCGATTGAGGAAATAGTTCCGGTATCTGCGGGATAAAGAGCGGACCGTTTTTGGAGGCGGAATCCCCCCGGGGGCACGCAAATCGTGGGAAGTCTGGAATCATGTGTGTATGTGTGTTTGTTCACTTTTGGCATCGACCGCGCTAACCGGCTGACTAATGAAGATACCCCGGTGTCGGTGCGGCTACGAACGGGAAACGCTTTTTAGAAAGTGTATGTGTGCGTGCCTCGTGATTATTGGCATTGATCGCGCCAACCGGGTGACCTACGCAATTACGTCAATCTCAGTACGGCTAAAAGCGGGAACCCTTCTAATGGTCATGCCCTGGGCCCCCGTGAGGGGATATCACGGTGAAGGGTAGGTCATTCTGCGGACTGAAGATGGGAACGGCAGTGCTGTAGAACGTACGAATATTTTCGTACAGTAGTGTAGCATCGACCAAGCAGTTTGTGTGTGTGTGTGTGTGTGTGTGTGTGTGTGTGTGTGTGTTGCTTGCAAATTCTTGCCGTGTGTCGTGCGCCATGAACAGACCAGCTGCTGTACGACGGGGACTGCGCCGCAGGAGACGAGAGGGTGATGTCATGGAGGCAGACCCCCCATGTGAGAGAGAGATTCGCCGGGGGCCCCGCTGTTGTGTTTGTTGTTGTTGCCTTGAATTCAAAACTATTCCGATATCAATCCAGTACCTTCTTGCATCCGTACTGCGCCCATCTGACGCGGGAGCGTTCGGCGGTAACAGGCTAACTGCTACCCCCCCCGAAAAGTGTTGATTCATCCTGTGTAGCTGATCGTGCCGCTAAGCCTGCTACCACTATTAATCCTATGGTACCTGGTATGGTACCTTTTCGGGTCGAATATCTCGGGAGTGAACTATTTGCAATTCTGTGTTCGGAAGCACTAAGAAGGGACTGGGTAAATCCTTTCTAGTGTGAATAGCACTGCAAGGGTATGAAAGGACGACACAAGAAGTCTTTCGTGCTACCACCTCCACCCGTCCTGTTTGCCAAGTGACATGCATGTATACGTCAACTATATACCGAACGGTGTCGGCAGAGACTGCTGCCGGAGAAGATTGCACGAAAACACACAGACGGACGGTACGATGGCCGGGCAAGACAAGCCAAAGAGGACATGAAAATAACCAGGAGAACCAGCAGGCACCGATGCTGAACACAACCCCGACCAGTGTCAAGTAGGAACAGCACCCCAACACACTACGGTCATGGAAGCAAGTGCCTCCCCACCCCTTCCACTCTTGCCCTGTTGTGCCTGCAGATGGCGTTTATTGAGTGCCAGGTGGCCGTGCTGGTGGTGCTCGTGTCGATGATCCTGGTCTGCTGGCGGCGGCACGGCAGGATGATCTCCGTTCTCTACGCGCCGCCCGCGGACGTGGCCACTCCGTGCCAAGGCGCGTTCACGCAATGAGCTTTTTTTCCCACTTGCCGGTATTTTTCCGCAGTAGCTTTTGGGAGGATTTAAATGTTTGGTTTTAGAGTAGGAGTTACGGGTTAGGGTTAACGTTACGCGCGAGCATATCAAACTTGGTTTCGTTAGGTGTTGCGGGTTGGGGTTGGGGTATTTGGATACGAAGCCCCCTCTCTCTGTTTCATAGATTTCGTCAGTATCCTCGCCGAGAAGAAGGTGATCCTAGTCCCCGCTGGCAATGTGACGACTCGCCTCCTCCCCAAGGACATGCATCACCACGCCAATAGACTGCTGCTGCTGCTGCTGTGATGGGACACGACGTTCACCCTGTATTTTCGGCATTCGGGGGCACTTTCTCGTTTGTTTGTTTTTTTGAGTGAAAGGTCCAGTTTGTTCTTGTTGGGAACGCACCTACGCCGGAAATTTTGGGAGATTGGGAGATTGGGAGGTTTCTCCCGTTAGGAAACCCGACCTGTCTTGAATAAGCCACACACCCGCGGACGGCACTACTACCGTATATGACACGAGATAACACACCCCCTTGACCGATTTTCGAAGCTCGATTTCTCAGCTGCAGGAACAGTCACAGCGCCGAAAACGGCGGGGTTAAAACCGTCTCGTCGGGAGCTTTTCGAAAATGTATCATTTCGTTTATGCATCCTCTTCGTCGTGGAGTAATCGAGCTTTGAAAATCGGTCCAGGGGGTGTGTTATCTTGTGTCATATACGGTATTACTGGCAAGCAGCGGAGGGTAGGGGATGACGCGGTTCTGGTGTTGCAGGTTTTTGGTGGAGGTTGGGGTTAGGGTGAACCGAATGCACTGGAATGAAAGCCGTTTGGAATGATACGCGATGTACTTGTAGACAGAAGACTGTATACATGCAGGAGAGAGGCAGGATCCGCAAGCCTCTCCCAGCCGTAACTCGACGCCCATGCTCTCAGCGATTGGCTCCTTCCAGCCCGGCCAGGGACAGATAGGCATATTTGATTGCGTCTGTATGACAGTGTGTTGTTCACGGGGCGTGTACGCGTGGACTCATTGTCATAGCCACGCATGCCGTAGTCGTTGGACCATTGACCTCTCATTCCTACCGTCGGGACCGAGCACGCTCGGTTTTCAACGGACCCGGCGAGCACATCACCAAGCACGAAGCATCGTGAGGTATTGACAGGGCGGGGGGGGNCGATATCCCTTCCCGCCTTTTCAACCCACCTCCTATGCCCCAGTACAGCTACCGTCCTTTCCTCTCTATTCCATGCCTCAAACATCTCCCTGTACGTTCCATCTATTTTTCCCAGCTCAGTCACGTACACTTCCCTCTTTCTCTTGTACAACAGACATTCCGCGACTACATGAACACGGTCTTCGCATTCGAAGCCGCAATCACATTTGAACTCGTCGTCTTCCTCGTCTACCGTCCTATGTCTTCGTCGACGTTCTCGAAGGCCTATGTCCCC